CATATTGCTCATGCCTGACAGACACAAGTTTTAGTTACATTATAACAATACATTGTATAACTGTAAAGAACATTACAACAGACACAATATTCTATATAATGTAAAAATAAATCTTGAATTATTACATTGCATTTGAATGATGTTTGGTATATATTTATCTCTTTTACTCACGAATGGCTCTGTATTCTGCCATGAAGCCCCTGTAGTTGATCACAGAGTCAGAGTAGAAATGGAGTAACATGGGACCAAAGGTGGTGAAGGGCCCTGGGATGTTTGTGCCACACAACGTGGCAATAGGGGGGCCACTTGTAGCCAGGCTGTAGATCTTCAGCCCATCGTACTGACAGGTAGAGTGTGCTAAATAACAGACAACAAACTGTTGGTTGCGAACATCAGTAAGTACAAACATCTAGTTTTGGTTCAATGTCCCAAGGCAAACAGGTTTATCTTAAAGTTCCATTTTGATTGATGCATATTGTCTTCTTTTTTTCCCACTAAATCTCACATCTGTTGGTGATTCTTTGTTCATATATTGTTAATCCACAAACACTTGCCTTCAACTTGGAAGACCTGGAAAATGATAACGACCACTGTCTGTTCCCCAGCATCTATGATGTAGTTGCAGTTGGACCTTTCAGGGTAGTCAGCTGGATAGTTTGGAGAAACCACACGTCCATTGGGAGCAGTGAAGTTTGCGCCACATCCTGATGAAAAGAGGGATCAGACTGTTTTTGCATGTTGTTGGCTGGCCACCTCATGCCTCCTTCAAACAACTAAGTGGCCTCAATCAAAGTTCAGCCTGTTAATGCAAATAAATCAGACTTGGAAATTAACTTTCAAGCTATAAAATGACCTTCACTACATGACATATCTCCTGCTCTCTAGTGAGATAAAATATTGATTCTAAAGATACCCAGACACCTGAAATTGAATGCCACACCATGACCACAACATGAAGCTACCTTGGCTGCCAGGTACTTACTGGTGCTGAAGGTGGCAGAGAAGCCTCTGCCGGTTGCTTCAGTGGCCTGGAATCGGCTTGTAATGATGTTATATGGAGCAATGATGGCGCCTGGGGCCACCGAGCCACAGCCTGTTGACAGCAGAGCCTCAGGATTTTGGGTCTCACCCGACCACACCTGAAAATGCACACATGATTGAGAAATTGTTGAGTAATAGAACATTGTTTTCTGGATACATATACTACACAGTCAAGCTGTCCAAACTTGTTGGAAAAAAGAAACTAGTTGGACTAATTCAAAATTAAAGAACAGCTAACCAAACAACAACTACAAAAAACAAATTCCACTTGACCTTTGACACCTTCGTTTAGCCTAAATCTCTAAAGAAGCCTTAATTCCCCACTTTGCTAAAAGTGATCAAAATGGTTAATGAAGGTGTTTTTGTATCATAATGACTTGTCATGGCCATTGGATACAAGTTTTTTTTCCAGGTTAAGGAGAATAAAGCAGAATGAATAAAGAAGTAATTTTTACCAGCCCTGTTATATTATATATATTATATTATCACTGTATTATCACTTGGATCAAATTTATACCGAGGTCTTTTCTATCACTCTCTACTCTTTTACTACTGATGCTCTCAAGGGAGCAGGAGTTCCTTCTACTGTCTCTAAGGAGTGATGTTACACACTGTCAAGCACAACTATACGACTCTGTGCCTAACTGCATAACAACTTATTATTTGAATTGTCCAACAGATTCTACTGTAAATTGCCAATGACACATTAAAACCAGTCTACACAGTGTCATAAAAAAATTGTACCCAATTAAAACTTCTTTCTCCTGTAACTCTCGTAGGACTTTCTCTGAAGTCCTTAAAAATGTCCAAAAATAAGATTGTAGGATCATCAGCATCTCCAAAGAGATTCAGAACTGAATCCTTAACTAGTGCATCATGGCATGGAGAGCCATATGTGTAAAGCAGATGAAATTAGTTCAAGGAAATGGCGAATGGACCCTTGATTTTCACAGCTTTAAATATGCTCATCTATGATAATACATTATATGATCCCACCCAACTTCCAAGTGCACTGCAGGTGTACCCTGCCATGTCAATACCACTGTGTCCTGGGTAAACTCCTGGTGCACTGGGCAGGACACATTTTAATGTTTTCACTAAAATGTTAATTAGGTTTAATATCCTTTAGTTTTTATTTAAATAGATAGATAGATAGATAGATAGATAGATAGATAGATAGATAGATAGATTACTTTATTCATCCCCGGAGGGAAATAAAGTCGTCATAGCAGCTCGTGTATCAGAACACAACAAAACACAATACAATAGAACAAAACAAAACATTGAGGTAGAAAGAACAAAAACAGAAACACAAGATGAATAGGCAGACAAGTAGTGCAGTGGCAATATGATGGTAATAGTAATGATGATATGATGGTAATGTTA